GGGGGGGCTTCATCGAAAGAGAAAGTCGGAAGCTGGTGTGTTTGAACGTGACCGTGTGTGTGTTACAGATCGGCGTGTGGAAGTCATGGGAGAGTGAGGGCCTGGACATCAAGGACATTGTGTGGCCGGGCAACAGCCACACGCCGCCGCAGGGTGTCCCGGAGAAGTTCCACCTCAAGATCACGTTCCTGGAGGAGCCGCCGTATGTGCAGCTTGCGCCGCCGGACCCCGTCACCGTCAAGTGCAACATGAATCGCGGCGTGCTTTGCCGAGTGGCGCGCGAGCAGGACATGGGCGAGTGAGTACAAGCGTTCGTCAAGCAGGAACAGTTTGCTGAAAGTTCGGTTGCGTGAACGTTGGTGAATAAGTGCAGCTTTATTGATGAAGCAATGCAATTTTGGTGAAGTATCTTTGATATGAAGTGCAACTCTTGTCCTGATGGAGTGCCACTCTCGATGGGGTCTAACTTTTGATGAAATGCAACTTCGGTTGAGTCAATAATGAAAGAAACTTCAATTAAACTAAAATATTAATTGAGATTTATTTGTTTTCCCACATAAATCGCGTCTCTCATTAATTCCGACGAACTCACTCACTCCAAATTCGTCCAGTTAAACGTCAGTGAATATATCTCCTGTCGGTTCTGCTGAAGGCAGTGGGGCTTGAGGGACTGTCGCGCGTTGGCAAACACTTGAAGCTGCGGGGTGGGTTGGGCGAGGCGCACATCATCCCAGTGCGCTGTGCGCGGTGCACTTGCCTGCATACGCCGTAAGTGCGCCGGCTGTCTGCAAGTGAGCCGCGCTGGGCCCGGCCTGCGGCAAAAGAGTGGAGAATACGAGAGGAGAGGCGGACCCAAGTTTCACAGTTGCGCGATTGCGAGCGGAGCCTCACCACCTCCATATGTCCCTTCCTCTCCTCTTTTCCCCTCCTCCACCCTCACCTCCGATTTACATACAGCCCCCATCGTGCCCCGCACACACTGGTGCAGCCCTTCGCCACCAGCTGACACCATTCCCCTCTCGCCCTGGCCCTCAATCATCCCGTAGAGGAAACTAGATTCTGATGCACATCACATCTTATCGCATGGAATAATCGGGAGAGGCCCCGGCGCCTCGCAATCCTCTTCCATCTCCGCCCCTTCGACGAGCTCCGTGTCGCCGTCTCTGCCGCTCCCTACTCCCCCACTCTCTGCTCCCCGTGTAGCGCGCAAATCTTGCCAATCTGCCCCAAGCCAGTAGTAGTCGTGGTGCCGCCGCCGCCCCTCCTCCAGGCGCGGTCCATTGTTTGCTGCTAAATATCCCGCCACGATTAACTTATTGCGTCGTGATGTGCAGCGGAGCTGAGCGGTGCGGGGCAAAGAAACGGGATGGGAGATCTGGGTCCAGAAACTCTGGGGAGAAACTTTGTGAGCAAACGAAGAGAAATATGCCGCCCGGAGACCAAAAGTAGGTGAAGCAGGGCGGAGGAGCCTCGCGGTGGCGGGATGTGGAGGGTTGGCGCGGGGGTGGGTACGGTGGGTGGGATGTGCACGCGCCCTCTTTCGGTGCTTAATTAGAATTGTCGTGGGAAACTCTGGCAGCTGCTGAGTGCTTTATTCGGCATACTAGCATCATTACTGTTATCGAGGGTTCGTGAACCCCCCACTGCCTACGTGCGAAGAAGTATAACATGCCAGTAAGCTGGGCACTCGCACTTCTGAAGGTATACCTTAAGGGCCCTTGACCCCCTTAAAAAGACATAGTATATATTATATATTGTATCGATTCGAAATGTGCTGGTTTGTGGGGGTGCTTTCTGTACAATTTTGGGACTTCCGACTTAATGTGACACGTTAGACTTATTTTTATCGAAGAATGGCCTAGCACGAGCACATAGAGATAGAACCGAGGATAGAACGATGAGAGAAAAATAACACTGACGAAATATCCGGTCGATGATGCTCTTGCTCTTGTGAGTTACTTAAATGCCATGCATGCCCTTTCAAACGTGATAGTTTTTCATTCGTTTTGGCTATTTTAACTCACGTTACTCAGCTTTGGTGGTTACGCACGGGCCACTAATTAAAATGTAGCAAAGTATTTTTGTAACCAGGCCCGATTTTGTTTACACGGCCAGCGGGTGTACGGCCCAAAAGCATATCTGCGGCCTCCTCTGCTGCCATCTCTCGCACTTCCACATCAGAGGAGGCAGGCCGCTGAGTCTGTTCCACCAGCACCAGCACAGTCCACGCAGTTCATTGCTTTTAGGCTTACTGATTTCTTTTTCTTTCACATCGGTCCGCTCATTAGATGCGGGAAAAATGAGCTGGGTGATGAGGGGTGATTGAGAGGTATAGGGGAGAGAAAAGGGGAGGGGGAGAAAGGGATGAGGAGAGAGATGGGGGGGGGGGAGTGTCAGGTAGGAATCTAACCGGAAAGGTCATCTAATTGGCATGGTTTCGGGACTGGGAGGCGTCGCAGGCCGGGCTGGCCGAGCTGCCGTCGAGTCGTGAGCCGAGCAGGGTCCGGACGGATGAAGACCTGATTCGAGATCGCGACCATAGACCCGACAAGACCCATCACCGCTAGCTATCGGTGACCCCTAATGTAAGTCTTCCGCCCTTGTGAGACGCAGCACCCTAGCCGATGGAACGGCCGGGGCTAACCCTTACCTCTTTTGTCTCCGGATATATAGCAAATGGGACAACTTCCGCGCAGCCTGCTCCACCGCCCGAGGCAGAGAGAGTGGGGGGGGGGGGTAAAGGACATGGAGATGGTTAAAGGGAGACATGGCGGTGGAGGACGAGCGTAGGGAAATAATACTTATCACACAAACTGGGCAAACAGAATCCTACTCGACTGTTCCTCCATTTTCGCTGGCTCTGCGGCCCACCACCATCATAATAGATGTTGCTGGAATGCTGGAGGAGGAGGGCGACGAATCTCCTCTAGTTCCACAACAGTGTGGCGCTGGCACGCGGCGGACACGACGCCAGGGCCGTGCCCTGCCTTGCCTGCGGTGGTGCTGGGATGCAGACGGGGGAGCTCGACTTGATATCGACACCAGTATCTCTTGCCCCACATTCCCTCCGGAGCTCAGATCCGTCCGATCTTCCCCCGCTGTTCGTGGATCCGATTTACCGCGCCATCCGTTTCACCAGATCAAAGCGCCGGTGCGGAACATGAAATAAAATGCTCATCAGGGTCTGATCCATTTGACTAGCGGCTAAGCTGTGGGGCCGGCAGCGCCTCCTCCGCCTACTGGCACGACAGGGCGAGGCAGCCCGCCCTCTGTGCTGTGTCCATAGCGGGCTCAGGGCCGGGGGCAAGCGTGCCTCCGCTCGGGTCAAGAGGAAGTAAGGACGCCGTCCCCTTTGTCCCTCCGCAGGCCGCTCGAGCAGCGGGATCTGCCTCCCCTTCCTTGCCCTCGAACCGTACCGTGAACCGTGGATGAGTGACTCCTGGTGGGTGATGCCCCTCCCGTCCGGGTCGTTCCCCAGTCGAACTTGTTGCCGGAGTCCTTGGTCCCGGAGAGAGTGAGCAGCACCGCTGCGCGTGTTTGCCGACAAGGTAGCTGGGGCAGTGGCCGCAGGAGGAATAGAAACATAACAGAGTTCCATTTGCCAAAAGCATGTCTAATAGGGTATTCCGGGTAAGCTTGGCGCCGGAAATTGGAGGCGAAGATGGCGCTGGTCCGCTCTCAGCCTCATTGCTTCTGTATCCGTGCGTCTGCTGTCGATTGCTCTGTCGCGTTCGTTCGCTACGTCATCTTGCATCAGATTATTACGATTACGTGTTATTATGCCAGCGAAACAATTTTGAATAATATTTTCACTCTAAAAATCGAGATCGAAACCCAGACCCCCCACCTAACCTAACGCCACCGTGCAGTTGACAGCAGACGACCGGATCTAGAAGCCGCGAGGCAGAGATTCGACCAGCGCTATCCTCGCCTTTCGTTTCCGGCGCTTCACTTGTCCGGAATACCCTATTGCGAAAGCCAGCGAATCATCATCCGCTAGGGGTGCACCCCCCTAGCCCTCCCTCTCCCGTGCCTCCGAGTTGGCAGAAGGAAGGAGAGAGAAATATAGAGACTAGAGGAGCGATAATAATGTACGACATTTTTCATGGAAATTTAATTGTACCTGGTGTGATAATTTTTCACTGTGTAGACCCAAAGTCAGAGAGAGTTACGCAACGAAGGAGAAATTGGGGAAATGCTTTAGAAGGACTTTCGTTGGTTGCTTTGGGCCAGCTGTTCGATTAACTTTTAGGGCCGCTCCGCCCCGCCCTTCGCGGCGATGAGGCCCGGCTATGCCGCATTTGCGGGCAACGCGTTATGCAACCCGAGCATCCCCACTTAAAGGCATAAATGCGTAGCTTTGTCTCCACCGAATGCGATTGGATACCCCGGAAGAACTAGGAGCACTGTGCGTTGTGCAGAGCCAAAGCGGCCCGTCTGTCGAGCAAGTTGCAGCTGCGACCCGCTGTCAAAAGGATATTTCACCCAGTTTAAACCGGATCCCAATAAGAAGAACAATAATGCTTCCTGAACTATTTCCTCCCTGACGCTTAGTTGCTCACACGGACGAAGTTCTCGCACCCGACACTAGGGTAGTCGCAGACCTGGTGGCGGGTTCACGGACTTCGTGCGTGTCAGCCGATGAGCGTCAAGGAGGAAAGAGTTCAGGAAGCATTACTGTTCTTCTTTGGATCCGGTTTAAACTGGGTAAAATACCCGAAAATACCCTATTCTGAGGGAGTGCACTCTTAAATCCACACGGTCGTTCTCCTTCAGTCACGGAGAATTTTGTGAAAGCGCAACATTGAACATAAGTCACATGAAAAACAAATACTACCGCCTGTAATATGTACGATTTCATACGTATTCCAAGGAAGTTGTGCTCCGGACTATGTCTCGCGTAACAGGTTTTGCGTCATCTCACTAAAGACAGTTACGCTGCGACGATCCGCTTCTGTAAAGAAAAATCGTCATAAGAAATTACGTAATAATCGTGCTTTTGTCCTTTTTTGGAGGGCTGTAACTAGAGTTGTTCCAATTTGTCGGGCGCTTGGCTCCGGAACCACCTCAATCGAAAAGAAAAACATTAGTACTAAGTCAAAACTGTCGTTGTTTGTCCCCTTGTCAATCCGCACCCTTTGGGCAGCAATATTGTCCCCACCCATTTATACAATAGAAAAGTCTTGCAATAAAGCATTTCAGCTTTACTGGAATGCTCTATTAAAACTGATATTTTAGTTAAATTTGCATGGGAATTTATTCATTGCTGCATTTATTAATTATTATCACCCTCTCATTGCAGCATTGACCAGTTTTCTGCGCACCGCAACAGTTCCTTCTACCAGTGTTGCTCCGGATTCTGCATCGACCTTCTGGAAAAGTTTGCCGAGGAGCTGGGCTTCACATACGAGCTGGTTCGCGTTGAAGACGGCCGATGGGGCACATTTGAGGTGAGAGCGAGTGAGATTGGCATGTGGCACATACACTAGAAACAAGAGTGGGTGCCAGTCAAAGTTGTAGTGCGAGCCAATAGATGGTTCCCGCTGTGTCTATTTCAAGAAGAATTAAGGAAATAGTCACCGGAAACAGTTCCGAAATTACGGTAAAAACTAGTGCAAATGAACCTTCATAGTTAGAATGGACTTACGCGAGGACAGTTATGTTAAAATGAACTGTTAAATAGGAAAAATATGGGGACTTTTCATACTGGTTCCGGTCCTGATTTCCTGACTTCTTCTCGGAACGCGCAGAGCGGGAACCCTCTATTCAGTATTCATAAAAGTGTGAGTTCCACGTCTGGCCCACGTACTTCCATGTCACGTCTGGCTGGTACAGTGTCATATATACCTTTATAAATGCCAAACAGGCTTACACTAAAACGTGTTAGATTGGCACACTCCCTTGTTTCTTGAGTATCTGACGAATTACCCACAATGAGACGATCTCCCTAATAGAAAACGAAGGTCCTATTCTGTCCCTAGTATGTTCCAAAGTTGTCCTTCAAATTTGTGAGGGCCTAGAACGGCTAGAACAGGATTTCACTTTTATTGAAATCCCTCCGAAGTTCCATTTTGCTTAAATCCTTCCGAAGTTCCTTTTCCTTGCCCCCTTTTGGTTCTTCTGGGGGATTTGCGGCATAGGACACTGGTAAAACAAGTGTTTAATTTTGCACATCAATTTACGTTTAAGTTCAAGTGTGCATTTTCTCGACACTTTGTGGTGTCTAACTATGTTATACGTCAATTGGTATTTAAACTTTCGAAACTTTCGAAACGTATAGCATGCTCACCGTATGGTTCCCCATTGACAGCATAGAACTGTGTGTGTCCAAGTGTGCAGAATTTAAACGTTTACAAAACGTCTAAAATTTGCACACCTCGCATGTGTGCAACTTGAGTTAAACACCATAGGTATTATGTGCTAAATCACAACTTGCACACGTTTCGTGTACAAATATTGCACACTTACTTGTTTTACCAGTGGACCTACGGAGGGATTTCAAAACTGGGACCCTGGAAGACCCTCATTTAGCCCGCCCTTTTGCTTTGAAAAAGCTATCCAGCGGGCTTATGCAAACAACCTCGTGTGTGTCTGTATGTCTGTCTGTTTCACTAAAAGGAGATGTACTAGAGACTTTGAAATGTTCAGAGTATCTTAAGCGAGGGGTCCACCACTCGCCAACTCGTTGTACACGAGGAGAAATACTCGCAAAATACGACAACTCGCGAAATATTCGCGAAAACTTGCGAAAGCTGGCGAAAAAATCGGCAAATACTCTCCTAATACTCGCGGATACTCGCCATTACCCGCGGATACTCGCTAATACTCTCGAATACTCGCGAACACCCACGCAACTCGTTGCACACCCACTTGGAGAGTGGAGGATCCCTCGATCTGAAGGTTCACTCCTAGAAAACGAAACGCCTTCGGCAAATCCTGGCTACCACCCCTAAAAATGGAAGGTTTTCCGGTGATACAGTCAGATTTGAATCGTGCACTAAACTGTTGTTTCAGACAGACACGAGGTCGTTTGCATAATGCATAAGCCCGCTAGATAGCTTTTCTAAAGCAGAAGGGTAGGCTAAAAACTACCCCTTCCTATTTGGAGGGTAGGAAGTAAGAAATAATGATGTTTCGCAAAAATTGCAGTTGAAGAAGTCGACGCTCTTCGAACGGCTTCGGTTGGCTGGTGTTCGGCAATAAGCGGCTGACAAGTGGAAGCGGAAGGCGGCTTTAGATTAATTGTGGCCCCCGTTTTCCCTTCTCCTGCCTTGGCGGATGAAGGGGACCCGTGCGAGCCGCTCTGCCGTGACTTATTGTGGCTATATGACGGAGGATACTGCTTCCCTTTTCGACCCCCC